TAAAACCAAAATTTAAAAAGTTGTTTTGCACTTAGTTTATTGATCTGTTATCTCTGAATACAATTTCTATCTCTCTATTGGTTCAAAGTAATGCTAAAAATCTACACGTTTCCAAAAAATTACTTTGGCCTTTAATGGATCAAGCGGTTGCTAGATTCCATATAATACATTCTATTTCCACTCAAAACATTTTACCTAATCATATTAATCCTGATAACAATATAATAACCATAGAAAGTTTATTTATTTCTAATGAATGCATTTCTGCCCTTAATAATCATAGAGTTTCCTTATTTAATGAAAATATTTTAGAATTTTATACTGATGGTTCTCATCAATTTCTTTTATCACCTTTAAATACTTCTATTAATTCTGCTTTTATTTTAGTTCATGATACTTTAGATATTAGTTTCGCTGCTGCTTTGTCTTCTCTTTGAGCCAACTCTACTAATGCTAAAATTTTCGCTCTTCTCATGACTCTCTTTATTTGTCCTTTTGGTTCTACAGTTATAGTTAATACTGATAGTTTATCAATGATTTTGTCTTACAATAGAATTTTATAAAATAATGTTTGTTCTTACCCATCCTTATTATTCAAAACTCCATTTTACATATACTGGTATTTCATATTCAAACTACTCGAGCAAAAATAACTTACATTATCCTTAATCAAAGTTAAAGCATATTCTGGTAATCTTTACAATGAAAAAGTTAACAATTTAGCTAAATCTATTCTATCAGATCATAAAAAAGAAAAGTCTTGAGTTACAATATTTTATGCAGCAAATGTAACTAAAACAGAAAAATAGCTCTTATATTTATTCATAAGTATAAATCCCCTCATATTATAAAAAATATTAACTAGAAAAATTATTCTATTTATTATTTTTGGAATAAAAAAACTTGGATACAAGTTAGCATTTTCAATAAATTTCTTTTTAAACTTAATGAAATAATGAAACAAAAAATAGAAAAATTATTTCTTAATTGATAATGCATTGGTATATCTTATTTTAGATAAAACTCAAGAAAAATTAGATTGTATAGATATAAAATTTTTTTCATCAAATACTACTACTGAATTTCAACCATGTGATGTAAGGATTATTCACTTATTTAAATGTCATTACAAATGTCTTTATATTTAAAATTGGATTAATGCATATGATAATATACAGGATAGAATTGTAAATGAAATTTCTAATTATACTATTTATGATGCTTTACAAAATGCAGCTGAAGCGTGATCTATTATATCATTTCAAATAATCTCAAACTATTGGAAAAAATCAGGTATTCTTTCATTAAATGATAAATTGAAGAAATATCTGAAGATTCAGATTCAGATTCAATAAATTTTAAAAGTTATAAGATTTAATATAAAATTTTTACTAATATAGTATTATATAAATTAATTTTTTAGTATTAAATATGAAAATTGATGAACTTGATACATTAATTTTCAGCTTTCAAAAGGTAATCTTAGTGCATATGAATATTTTTATATTGAGGATAAGATATCAGAAGATAGGCTTACTGACATTAAAATAATTAATACTATATTAAATAAAGAAGAGGATCATATAACATGATGGAAGCAGAAAAGACAGTAGATAAAATCATGAGATTTTTATATAAGTAAGAGTCAGAATTTGGTAAAATAAGTGAAGAATTAAAGATTTTAAAAAGATTACATAAATGAGTAAATTACAAATGATAAAAAATCTTCAATAATTTAATATTCTTAATTACTTTCATAATGATATAGTTAAGTATATTTTATAGTTTTACAAATTTTAAATATATATAATAATAATATAGCTAACTTGATTCTAAATAATAAATATAAATTTTTCATTTGCAATTAATATTAAATTTACTAAATATTCACATGTCTTTGATATTATTGGTTAATATTATATACCAAATAGTTCAGTATAAAACATAAATACTATATAGCAAATTCACTTTATGCTAAACCAAATCTTCTGAAACAGCTAGTTCATTATATCTAATGCTGACTGTATATCTTATTGATTACTATTCATTAATTAAATTATCTTATATAATATATATTATTTTAATTTTATATTTTAAACTATTTATTTCTAAAAAAAATATTTTATTTATTTTTTTGATTTTATTTAATTATATAATCTTAAAATTGTTCTTATTATAAGAATTTTTCAAACAAAAAAAAGCTTTAATTTAAATATCTAGATTTATGAATCTAATTAATCATATGCATTACTATTAAAATTAATATATAGAAGATTTGTCAGAAAAATAAGGCTCTGAAAATTTTTTAATTTTTATTGCAATTTAATTTTGATAATATTAGATTAAGAAATAATAAAAATTAAAATTTTATTAAAAATTCTCAGTTCAATTTTTATAATAATAATTTTAAAATAAATTTTTAAATTATTTCATATATAATTTAATATTTAATATATATTTCATTTTTTTATTTTTTATTTCATAATTTAATATTATTATTATTTATATCATCAGTAATTTTTTTTTTTATTACTATTATACTAATTCTTATAATATTAAATTATTTGAAATATAGGAGCTTTGCAATAGAAAAGGAAGAAACTCTAAAAAAAATTTTTTTTGAGTTACAGCTAATTTCATAATTTATGAATCATTAATAATTTTTCAGTCACATTCAGTTGCAATATTTTATAGTAATTTTATTATAAAATATTTTTAGTCGCATTCAGTCGCAATTTATTAATGATCCATAAATTATGAAATTAGCTGTAATGTTAAATCTGAACTTATTTTACTAAAAAAATCATAATTAGCTTAAAAAGTAAAATTTTAATTTTTTTAGAGTTTTCTTTCTTTCTACTGTAAAGCTTTCATATATTTTAAATAACTAATGATATAAATAAACATTAAGATATTATTATACATTTATTTAGTTAATGATAAAGAATATGTTACTATTAAGATAAATATTTAATTACTTCTTTTAAAAGAACTCTTTATATTTATTATTTGAGTAAAATATTATTTTTCATTATATAATTCATTTATTTATATTATGCTTTTTGGATTTTAAAATAAATCAATTATATAATGAAATTTTATTTTATTAATTTAAATATTTTAGCTTATTATTTACTCTTTTTTATATTTTTTATTTAAAAAGAGTTTTTAAGATTTTTATATTTAATAACTGATATTTTTTTTACTATTTATTTTATAATATCAATTTTTTTTAAATACTTCATATAAATACATATAATATATAATAAAATCTATATATTTATTTAAATATCTTATTCTATTAACATGAATTTATTTTAGATTTAAAGTATAAAAAAGTTATGAGATTGATTAAAATAATTGATATTAAAAGCTATTGATTATTTTTTTACCAAGTTTTATTTTCCTTATATTTAATAATTATTTATAATTAAAAAAATATTATTATTTAGTGATATTTACTAAAACTACCTTTCTTAATATGGGAGCTTTGTAATAGGAAGGGAGGAAACTTTAAAAAAATTAAAATTTTACTTTCTAAGCTAATTATGATTTTTTTTGTAAAATAAGTCCAGATTTAACATTAACTCAAAAAAATATTTTTTAGAGTTTCCTTCCTTTCTATTGCAAAGCTCCCATATGATGAAACTAATAAAACTAAAATAATAAACTAGATTTTTATAAGTGATAAAACTATTTTATTTAATTACTGAAATTATATTTGAAATTTTTGACATTAAAAATATAATAATTTTATATTTATTATATAAAATTATTAAAAAGATAAATCCTTTTAATGAAAATATTTTTTTCAAAAAGAGTTTAAGCAGATATCACTAGTATTATATTTATTTAAAATTAATCCTATTTATTATATTCTGATGATCATTTGAAGTTTTCTGATTTATAATTTTATATATAATATTATACTTAATAAATTTTATTTCAATTATTTATAATGCTTCATAAAGTCTGAATCTATTATTAAATACTTTGAAAAATCCTGTAATTTGCAATTTTTTAAGATATTACAAAAAATAAGCCATAGATCAAATATAATTAGATTTTTTAACTAAAGAAAATATATGTATTTATTACATAGTATTTTTTTTTACATCTAAAATACGAGTTTTATTTTTTATTTGCAAATCATAATTTCTTAAGAGATCTATTTAAGATATTATAGTTTAAATTACAAGTTTGAATATTTTTGGCAGGTTAGAATAAATATATCAAGATGAAAAATTCTTATTTTTTAAAAATCAGCAAACAAAAAAATATATATTTCAGATAAACTGAATGAATTAGATTTTCATTTATAAAAATTAGTAAATAAAAGATATATACTTCAGGCTGTATATAGTATTATGCATTTATGCTTATAATAATATAAATTTGATTAGGAAAGGCATTCACTTTATTCTAAAGATTGGTAATAGTTCTTTAAATTTTGCAAATATTAAAAACATCCTATTTTTTATAATTAAATACTTGATAAATATAGAAAATCATGTGGATTAGAAGAGCTTTCAGTAAAGGATAAACTCATCGGAAAAGTTCGTTCTGAAATTGTTACAATATAATTTTTTTTAATGCATTTTGTAAATCGATACATTCGGTAAAAAAGAAAAAATATGTAAGAATATGTAAGTAGACAAGTAAACCGTGCGTTTCCTTTTTAATCACAGAAATATTTATCAGATGTACAACGGAAATTATGCTTGAACTTAATTTTATTCTGTATATTACTATATTCATGCATAATATAAATATAAACATCTATCGAAGGAACACCAATTGAGAGATAATTGTCCATAAAAAAAGAAATTGTCTAATGATGTTAAAGCTTTTTTTTTACTATAAAATTATAGAATAAATAACAAAATCAACTATTATATATATATCGTATATATATTTTTTTCTATGATTAATAATGAAGGAAGAAAAAAATCGTCCGATACCCTGATACTCACCATTTTTGCAAATTTTTTTCTATTAATTTAACTAATTCTCCCATTATTTTCCATATGTGTAATTAATTCTTCCAAAGGAGCCAATTCCTTTTTATCAGGTAACAAATTAAATTCTTTAGCGAAAGAAATAAAATGTGCAAATAAAGAATTAAAATGTTTTTCTTCACGTAAATGTAATATTTGTTCATAGTGTTGATAATAAATGTGAGCGAAAACTCTAAAACATTGTTTGAATATCGTTCTGACAATTTGTTGAAAATCTTTAGGGAAATCACGTCCTATTATAAAAAGAGAGAATTCAATTAATTTATAAGAGAACTAATCTTGGTTTACAGAAAGGATAAAAAGACCGATCACAATTACCAGCTTTTGTTGGGAAAACATTTTCATCATTGATAAGATTTTGAACCCAAGTCATTACATAATCTATGTATGTTGGAGCTGGTAACTTATTTTTTTTTTGAGTTTGATCTGTCCATGTATAAGGTTCAAACCTATTATTAATTCAAAAAATGTCATCAGTTAAATATAAATCATATCATTCTCTAGTATTCTATAAAACTCACCCAGAACCTGTACTCATAGTAGGGCAGTTTAATGGCGTGCAGAAATCGGTAACTGTTCCATAAAACATGTTAAGATAATTAAAGAATTCAAATACTACAAAAGTAAAATATCAATATCACATTAATCTAACCTTGAGATTATTTCAAAAGATCTGGAGAAATAAAATATTTAAGTTATTTACCGTTTACAGCTAACCATTCGTCTTCATCTACATATTTAGGCAATACAACAATTTTTTTAAAACTTCCTTCAACCAAAGAAGCATCGATAAACGGTGACGAAAGAAATAAAGGACGCGAAGCTGGAGCTGTTCGGGCACGATTTCTTTGATTATTTTTCTTACTACAATACCAAAGGGTCCAATATATTAAAAACAAAAAATAAAAATAAATCAAACCGGCATATTTACTTTATGTCAACAAATCATAGAATCGTTACTTACCCTAACCAATTCATTGTAGATTTTAATTAGCTAGCTTAAAGGGTTTTAAATAAAATAATTAGGACGTCCTTCTGAAGATTTAATTTATATTAAAAAGTTCTATAAAATTGTTAGATATTACATCAAACTTCTCATTTAGTGTTGAAAGTTTCACCAAATTTCCACGTTGTTTTTCGTACAACTCGACGTTTCACATAATTGAACACAATTCAGAATTTAGACTATGCATGACAATAATTCAGATAAATTAAACTTTTTTATTGTCTAAGTGAATACATATAATGTGATTGAATCTGGTAAATTAAAAATAATATATAATTATATATATTGCAAAACTATATACAAATTTTTGATCTGAATAGTTATAAAAATAAAATAATCAAACAATCAGATCCACAAAGAGATATCTTGCACAAAATCAATTGTGCGTGAAAGGAATTGTTCACAAAAAAAAAAAAAAATTATTAAATATATATATACTATCAAGATTTAGTATACAGTCAAATTAATATCTACCGCGCGGACGATCCGGTGGCCTTATAGGTGATCTGGTTGGTAGATTTCCAGATAATCGCTATAACAAAAAAAAGTGTTCATTTAAAAGAATTTAAAATTAAAATGCTAATGTTTGATAATATTTGATTTACCCGCATATTATTTATTGGTCCACGACCGTATGTTCTATCTATGTATGGTGCAGTTGGAGGTGGTGGTCTGAATTCATTCCTATGATAATATGAATATGGATCCTCTCTTCCTCGTCCCTAAAGACAATCAAGGTGATTAGTTTTTTTTTAAACAAAATATATATGTGTATAAAATAATGGCTAAAAAAATTAACATACCATCATTCCATTTCCCGTCATGGCACTTGGTCCAGTTGGCGGAGGACCATACATACTAGAAACACTGTGAATCATCGATTCATAATGCATTCCATTTGGTGGATGTCGAATTCTCTTGTTCATTGGCCCAAGGGGAGGTGAAGTTTGTTCGTTTGTTCGTTTTATTCTAAGCGGTAATTGATGATGAAATGCGGTAACATCTCCTTCATGATGATTATATGGAGATGAATAGTTTGAATCATATTGATCACGATTTGATGGTATATAACCAGTAGATTGTACTTTAAATATAAATCATTCCAATAAATAAAGTTTTTTTTTTTTTTAAAAAAAAAAAAATATTATTTTTCTTAAATAAAATCAATTTCCAATAAAAAAAAAATTTAAAAAGATTATATAATCTGAACATACTGTTGTGTCTGTCTACTCTATGTGGTTGCTCAGGTATTCCAGTATTATTATTTGCAGATGTTTCTCTGGTTATTAATAATAAGAGAAATTTTTTTAGTATAATGAAATTAATTTACAAATTAAATAAAGTGTTCTAGTAATAAATTTATAAATTCATTGTAACTCGAATTAAAAAAAATTTATATAACCTTAAAATTAAATAAAAATTTACATACCCCTTTAACTTATTAATTGGTTCATTAATCGCGACAACTGGATCCTTTTTATCTTGTTTCGCTATCGCATCACGTAATTGTTGACATAAACGTTTTTTCTTTGCCTTTAATTCTTCCAGTTTATTTACAATAAATTCTTCATCCGGCAAAGAATCATCACTAGCTTCTTCTTCTTTATTATCATTCTGACCTTTCAATATAGACTTTTCAGAATTTTTTTTACTGCTACTTGACTCTCCATTTCCATCATCTGGAGGTTCTGGTGGTGGCTCGGGATTTATTAGTTCGTTATTTAATGACTCTTGATTCCGTGAGGGTGATATTATTTCCTCTGCATAATCCATATTGTTCTTGTTATTAGAAATAATTTCATTAAAATTTAATGAACCTTTCTCTAAATCATCCTCTTGATCTACCGCCATTCGGTCGTCACTCCCACTAATTGCCTGAGTATTAAAATGTCCATTTATCTTTTTATTAAGATCTATTCCATTAACCTCTGAATTCGTTGTAACTGTCACAGCTGTTTTTATTTTTGTAATAGCCTTGTCCCCACCTTCCTCTTCTTGCTGAAAGGCTACATTATTATTATTTTGTGAGCTATTGTCAGAAGAATTCTTTTTTCTCTTTATTCTCTCTTGCTGTCGTTGTTGTATTATTATTTTAATCGTTGCCTTACGTATATGTTCTGGGATAGGTCCAGGTGTTGGAAGGACAACATCTTTTGGTCTACGATAGTTGTCCATTACCTATATTTTTTTTTTAAGAAAAATATTATTTTATCATTTTATTTAAAATTTTTTAATAAAGTCACTAGAATACTGAACCTTTCTCTTACCTCTCTTTAAATGTTGGTTCTTTAACTGTATTGAATGTCGTTGCAACGACAAATATCATGGCCTGTCGTGAAAGGTTTGTTTAGTTTATTCATGTTAATAAAAAATGTCAGATGATATATTAGGATATATAAAAGATTTTTTGTCACTCTGTAGAAAACAGTTAATTTACCTGTTGCTAAAAATGGTTCAGTTATTGCAGTGTAACATAATACAACATCAATCAATCTGGACCCAAATATCCGGCATACCTAGAAGACTGATTTGTATAACATAGATGATATATATTACTAATATTAATTAATTATCATTTTAATTTTACCTATGATAAAAGAATATATTTATAAAGAATTATTTATATAATAAAATTTATGCAAAATTAATAAATTATAATATTTAATAAAATTAATTAAATATATAATAAGTAAAAAAACAAATTTTATTTAATATATAATATATATATAAAACAAAATAAAATAAATAAAAGAATTTATTAAATAATCATTATATTAAGTATTGACTATTACTATATTTCTAAATTTTAATTTTATATATATTAAATTAATTTAATATATAATTAATTATAAATAAAAAATTTAATTCTTTTATTTTAAATAATTAAATTAGCTTATATGGGAGGTTTGCTAGGAAAATGGGGCTCTGAGACTAAAAAATTTTTTTGAATAAATTAAAAAATCAAAATAA